TTGTTCCTAAGTTTTCTCCTAGGAAAAATAATTAACCGCCGCCCGTGGTTTAATAATAACATTATAAAGGACATTAAAGAAAAATCTAGATTTTGGCACGTATAAAAAACTAATGATAATAAATACTAGATGCATTTGCACAATTTTTCTAATCAACTTTTATTTCGTCAAGTAAATTTAATGCAGCAAACGTCTAGTTGAAATGTACCGCATCTCCTTTAATAATTCCAAGTAATACTGAAGATGATGTATTGAAGGCATTAAAAATTTTTAATCAAAACTAAAAAAAAAAAAAAACTATTTTGTATAATTTCGGCAAGTAATTTTATATAAAATATTATTTAAAAGCTCAAATTTGCTCTAATCAGCACGGATTTTTACAGGGTAGATCTACTAACACAAATTTAATAAGTGTTACACAGTTTCTAGCAAAGATTTAAACTAGAAAAACTAGACTTAGTGATGGATTCCTCAAGTTTTTTTAATCCTATTTGAACAGAAGCCTATACATGCAGTACCAGGTTTTAAGTCTGTTGAAATGACAGCGGCTTCAGGAGTCCAGCAAGGATCCGTTATAGGGCCTCTTTTATTTATTATTTTCATAATCGCCGCCTGAATGTAAGAAGTAGGTAACTCAAAATTTTGTTAATTTTAGTTATCTACGTTTTCACGTAGTCGAGACCAAGCAGAATTTAGTGCAAAATCTGGGTAACTTGTCGAATTAAACTAGCTACATCTATTTGGTAATGTAAAAAGTAGTTAAAAAAAAATACAGATTTCTTTTTATGTTCGAAATGGGTAACTAGAGATAGCTGGTTTTTACAGAACGTTCAAAGTTCTATTTATGGTGCTAAAAGTGGGCAGCTGAAGATACCTACCTGTTGCAGGAAATATTTAGGTTTAGTTCAGTTGTTTAGATTCATAGTTGTGCAAGGTTATTGTGATTCTTAAGTGGAAAATCATGTCCAGAGGGGCTAAAATGGTGGATTTAGTGTTCACCATGCAATCAAAAGCAAAAGGTAAGCAAGTGCTTTTGTTCTTCTTTCTGCTTACCTATTTTTTAATAAAAAATGATCATAATGTTTACATAAAGTTAGGTTATAAAACTTTTTCTGTTTTTTGAGATAGTTTAAAAAATAGGTTCACACTTAAGTAATAAGGCAACTTTTAAGTACGTTATCTTTTTACCTCCTCACTTTTAAGTCTTTTATTTTAGATTCGTGTGACAACAACATTAGACGGGACCAGTTTCCAAACAGTGGTTTAAACCAAGATGAATCTGAAAGGGGGGAACCGGAGCAGACTTTTATACCCGAACCGACTAATAAAGTATTTCGAGAAGCTTTTGTTCAAGAGGAACCTAATAGAGACCAGAATTTGATGCTGATGATTCAAAAGGATTCCAAGAAAAGGCAGATTTCAATGCCTGGATCGAGTCGAATGTCTATGCAAGAGAACTTCGTGAGAAATTTAGGTTAGCTTTATTATTAGTAATTTATCCATATTTCGATTTACAATAATCTTGTCGGTTATAAAAATTGATATAAATTGATATACATTATTGATTGACAAAAAATTATATTTTTTTCTAGATTTCAACAATCAAGAAGAGAATCATCACGAAAAATATTTTGAAAAGGCCAGTGATGATAATAGCTTCAGTGATTTTTCTCCAGATGAATCTGAATACTTACCTACTAATAGTTCTTCAGATTCTGAAGAGGCAAATATCAGAAGTATTTCCTCAGATTCTGAGGTATCAAATGCTCGAAATCAGTTATCAGGAATGGAGCAACATCCAGAAGTGACTAATAAGCCTCGAAGAAAAAAAAGGTGTCCAGACAAGTGGCCGAGAAATATTAGAAAAAAAGAATAGACTTGCAGGAAAAGAATACGTTTCAACAAAAGGGGTAGTAAGACCAGCTGCCAAAATGATGCCCCCTTGCAAGGAAACCTGCAGATTAAAATGTTTTACTATCTCTGAATCTGAAAGACTTAAAATTTTTAAGGCCTATTACGAACTGGGTGACTACTCACGCCAACGAGATTTTATTCACGCTAATTCAAAAAAAAATGTAAAAAAAATTAAAACAACTCAGCACGACTCCAGAAGGAATTACTCAATGAATTATTTTCTTCCGATTGATGGAAACAGAAAGAAAGTCTGTAAACCTATGTTCCTGAACACACTAGGGATTAAAAAAGGTGTTGTCGATATTGCTCTGAAGAAACGATCAAAAGAAAATGTTGCAGCGTCTGATGGTCGGGGAAAGGGAAATAGTAAAACCTTGGATCCCGCTATAGTCCAAAACATAATGACACACATACAAAGTTTTCCATGCATTCCATCCCATTACTGCAGAGCCGATACTACACGAAAATACTTGGACTCTTCCTTGAATTTAGCCACCATGTACAGGATGTACGTCCAGTGGTGTCAAGAAAATGGAAATCCAACCGCAAAGTTATCCACCTACCGGAATGTTTTTAAAGATAACTTTAATCTGGGGTTTCATACACCAAGAAAGGATCAATGTCGGGTCTGTGTGGCTTTTAAAAGCGAAGCTAATCCAACAGAAGAAATGAAGAAAAATTATGAAGCACACCAAATATTAAAAGATAACGCTCGAGAGGCAAAACGTCTGGATAAAGAAGTTGCTGCTACCAACGATAAAATTGTCAGCTGCAATTTTGACTTGCAACAAGTTTTACTATGTCCTAGTGACCCCACCAATAATGCGTTGTTTTATAAACGCCGATTAGCCACTTATAGCTTCACTATTTACAATGTTGTTACCAAACAAGGGGATTGTTTTATGTGGCATGAAGGCCAAGGAGGTAGAGGCAGTTGTGAAATAGCGAGCCTTCTATTTCGTCATTTCCAATCTCTTCCAAATTCTATAGAAGAAGTTAAGTGTTTCAGTGATCGCTGCGGTGGACAAAACCTTAATAAGTATGTTGTAGCAATGTGCATGTACGCAGTGCAAGTAATTGAAAATTTAAAAACCATTCATCTTAAGTTTTTGACGCCTGGCCACAGCGAGATGGAGTGCGATTCTATGCATTCCGCTATTGGCACCGAGTTTAAAAGAGTTGGTAAAGCACTTTGGCCAGGCGATTGGAAAACTATCGCAAGAAGTGCAAGAAAAAAAGGGAGATAAGCCCTATAATGTGCATGATCTTTGATTGGAAAGCATTTGCCGATACTCACCTAACCATGAGAAAAACAGATATTAATAACGAGCCCGTTTTATTTCAAAAGCTATGTTGGTTCCAATTTAAGAAAGAGAATGTTTATGAATATGAGTGCAAGGAGTCTTTTAAAGCAGATAGTTTTAGACGAGTGGATTGTAAAAAAAAGGCTCTACGCAGGCAATCAATCAGTTTACTGCCTTGTTACCCTCAAGGCCACTCTATAATGGAGGCCAAGTACAAAAACTTAATGTCTCTGTTTTATATGAACCCTCCAGCATTAAGTCGTGACTATTATGATTTTTATTTTAACCTACCACACGGCAGGATAGAAGAAGAGGAAGATTAAAATTTATGTTTTTTTTTATTCTTTTTTTCATTGCTACGAAAATATGTGCAAAATTGGTTTAATTTAAGTTTTACTTAGTCGATTTTCTAGTTACCTATGTTGCATATGCATATTTGATTTACGTTTAGAATAAAATTGCTGGTGCAAAAAGTAGCTAACTTTTTGTTTTTTTTGTTAAAAAAAATGTTTCTTTTTTTTTTTTTTACTTTTCTTTTTTTGATGAAATCTTTAAGTAAAAATAAAGCCCTACAAACAAAGATTGAGCTATTTTCTTTAAATTTATTGCCTGTAGACAATTTCTAAAATCTGAATAATAATGTTTTTGCCAATTTCTCAAAACAATAAGAAAAAAGTTACCTAATTCTTACATTCAGGCAGGGAAATGACATCGTTTGTGAATTTAGTTTTAATGCTCTATTATATGCAAATGATCTAAAACTATAGTCATCGATTTCCAACTTTGAGGACTATATTAGTTTACAGAAAGATTTAACTAAATTGAATGTTTGGTGCAAAAAAAAGTTATTACCTCTCAATATTAATAAGTGCAATTGTACGAGTATCACGAGAAAACTGCAGCTAATATGATTCACATATTCAATTAACGAGGCTAATGTTACTAGATGTTATAAGTTTAAAGATTAGGGAGTAATCTTTGACCGCAGATTAACTTTTACTTACCACATCAATGAAATGGTAGCGGGTGCTTACAGAAATCTTGGTTTTATAATAAGAAACAGGAAGCAACTTATGGAAACTGCTAAACTGGAGTTACTCTTTAATGCTTTCGTTAGATTTAAATTGGAATATGCTAGCCTAGTCTGGAATCCGAGATGCGAAATACATAAATTTCATATTGAGAAAGTACAGAGGAAATTTGTAAAGTTTCTATGGTATAAGTCGGATGGTGTTTATCCCCATTAAGGCATTTTCAACAATATGTTATTACAAAGATTTCACATAAATTACTTAAATACTCGACGAAAATATTATCAATAGAAACCTCACAAAAATTAAATAACCAAATTGACTGTCCAGAATTACTTAGTTGTTTCTCTCTTCATGTTCCAGCTTTTCAAACTCGATCTAGTAGTTTATTTGATTTGCCAGTTCTCAGAACAAATTATTAAAAGATTAAAATTTTCACCTTTATACACCAAGCGTTCAAGAAAAAATTGATATTTTTAATTGTAATATTAGGGTTATAAAAAATCATGTTCTTTCTGTAGACTATATTAATAAAGTTATTAATCATATTTTTGATTTTATAAAAAAAATTCTTATGGACCTCAAACTTTGGGATACAAAATGAACTCATTGTTTTGTATACAGGAATATTGGTTTTTCATCACCATGAAAAGAGGGATTTTTTTTAAACATAAACACCCTGTTTGTTTATATTGTCAAAAAAGGTTGCAATAAGCTTTTCAAAAATACCATATACTTGATATCGATTTTCGGCTTTGTGATCGAGTGGTAAAGACATTAGCCTCTTACCCTGGAGTTTAGGGTTCGATCCCCGGTCGAGGAGCCAGGATTTTTTCTAAAACCAGAAATTAATCCTAACATACTCGAGCATTATATCTAAATGTGTATCCCTCTCCCACATAAGGTAACTTGAGATATCTCCAGGGATACAGGGGGTTTTATTATCTGCGGTGTTTAATTTTAATTATTAATTTTTTAACTTGTTTTCGGTATATCGCTACATACAAGGTGGGGCACTAGTGCGTCGGACCTCGATATCTCGAGTTCTACGATAGCTAGATATTTTTTAAAAAATTGCAAGTAAACTAGATAAAAAAGTCTATAATTGGAAATTATTTTTGAACATACAGGGCGAGCCAAGACGAAATTACAGGACCAAGTGCCTTTTTTTTAAATGGAATACTATGTATATCAGTACATTTTTTGAAACCTCTTTCTAGGCTCTATTCATTCCTATTATTGCTTGTCGAATAACGAAAACAGCAAAAAAATTTACAAAAAAAACATTACAGTAAAGGACTGGTTAAATACTATTTACTCATTTCAATGGAAATGGTCTCACTAAATGGCCTCATGTCAAAATTGCATAAAGACGTGTGTCAATTAAAATGGGCAACACGTCGAACACCTATTATAAATTTTTCTAATGAATTATTTGAGGGAACCTCTTTTTTTAATTTTATTCTTGAATTTGACACTTATTTATTTATAAAACGAAAATGATTGCAATTAGCCATAGGGAAGTACTTACAAAAAATGTTCGTTTTTCATTTTTACATCACATCGTTGAAAAATATATAGGGTGTTCCATTTGAAAAAATTGAGAAAATTCAATTTAAAAAGTTCTTAATTGAATACTAATTTTTGGCCACCCTGTACATTTTTAGGAAATGAAAATGATTTAAAAACATTAATTAGATGTCTCGTAACTGGTATTCACATAAGTTTTTCTTAAAACCCATAATTGTGATTGTGGTGATTTATTTAATATCCATCTGCAGATGGCATTATTTCAACAAAAAAATGCATTACATCAGTATATTTATGGTCCGAGTGACAGAGTTATTGTAAACATAAATATACTTCAGCTGTTATAATTACCTACTCTTAAAAAGAAACACATCAACGACCACACCAAATACTGATCATTCTCTGCCTAACTCGTCGAACTACACGTACTCACATACCCACAAATAAAACAATGATGAAAAACAAAATAAAACCCACCCGTACAATAAAATTAAAATAGGAAATTTATATTAGGTAAGAAAACACTTTTTTAGATATGCATTCTGTCACTAATCTAATTTATGACTTCATGTAAAACCATTATTTTTAATTATTTTTAGCTTTGTAACCTTGAAAAAGTCCGAAAACTCGGACGAAACGTAGGACAAATTGTTCATGTATTTGGCTGGAAGTCCTCTAGTAATAAAAATAGGAAATTAAGTTTTTCTGTTTTTTATTGAAGAAATAATTTCTACCTTAACAGCCAACAACTTGTGTAAAATATCATCTATAGATTATCTAAGTATTTTAAATTACATGTCTTTTGTCTTATTTTTTTTTATTGGCCTAAAAAATTCTTCATTTAAAATTGCCTACAGACACACGTACATATTTTAAGACATGAACGTGCGCTCAATGAAACAGCAGTTTTATTATTTCACACTTTCTTATATTCATTTTAGATATGCCAGTGACGTTTACTAAGTGTATCATTGAATTCCTATGCTGTAATCACGTTGCAAAAAGTAAACCGCAGACCGCAGCACATAACTTCTAAAACTTATATGCAACAATTTTAGTTCTAATATGCTCTGAAAGTATTTTATATTACTTTTTGTAGTTTAAAGTACGGAATGTTTCATTTTGGATCAATATGTGCACGTGCCGAGATTATTACTTTTCTATATTACGTGGATTCTATATATTGAGCAATTTAGGAATTAGTAGTTTCAAGAGAAGAATACGAATTTTTGTTGCAATAATAAAGTATATAACGAAATCAGAGCATAAAACGCGAAAGCAATCATCGCTACTTTTGTTCTCCTTCTTTTCTTTCATGTGAGTAGGTAATTTTCATACACATTCTAGAGATTTTTTCCAACAATATGTTCAGTAAATCCCAGAGCGTTACATAACGATTGTTATAAAATAATACCGAAAATATAATTTAAATTTACTGATACTACCACGATATTAAAAGTTGAGTGTTTTTATTTTTTATTGTTTTTTTAATACTTATTTGACCTCTTATTTTTATTTTATATAGGACGATCAGCTAAAAATTCAATTTTTTTAAACCCGTTTCATATTCTTAAAATAATAGCTAAACAAATGTAAAAAATGGAATGGTAACATGTTTCACAAAGTTTGCAAATGTACTATGAGTGTTTGTCTATCTTTATGAATGCAGACGCAGCGCCACATAGTCACGTTTTCTAATGGGACACTCTACATATTTGGATAGCCCTCTTCCTCCCCATTATAAATATGGATTGTTATGCATTTGATCTGCAAGTAATTGAGTTATTCAAATAACACCCACATATAACAAAACAAGTGATTTTTTTTAAAGGAATAACAGTATATTTTCAAAAATGTTACTATTTTTTTCAAAACAGTTTTCTCTAAATTTGTTGATACATTTCTGGATTATTATTTAAATCCCCCACTTCCCATCAGATTGCCTGTTTCTGTTCTTCTAAATTATTAGATTTATCTTTATGTATTTATTCTATTTTTAAGTGTACCCAATAAAAACCGAAGGGTGTTAAGTCCGGGCTCTGTGGAGGCTATAGTATAATGCCACTTCTGCCTATCTATTATCTATATATCTATTAAGAAGTCAATTACCTCACTAGTTCAGTAACACCGTGCCCGTCTTGCTGCCAGATCATCTGTTCAGAAATATTTAAAGGAAGATTGTCTGTAAAGTCCACTATTTAATTTTCCAGAAATTGTTTATATCTTCTTCCATTTAAACTTCCTGCTTTTGTAAAAATTCAGCTCAGAAATTTTATTATTTAATCCCATCCCTATAAACTAATGACCTTGTCACATTATCCCCTTTACTTGGTGGGTATTTTCGGAAGTCAAAAAGTGCTCATTTATTCTATTAAATACTCTAGATAAAGTAAAATTAGCCTCATTTAACAATAAACACATTTTATGAAAAATGGATGAAAGAAGAATTTTTTAAGTGGATATTGTTTCTTGGGATGTCTAAATGATCCGATAATTTTTTGAAATTTTTTAATTAATATTTTATAGCTAAAAAAAAAATCGGCCACATTTTTACGACCTTTATCGCTAATTAAACCATTCTTAACCTGTGAACTAGACTAATATTATTTACACTCAGATTGGAAAAACGATAATCAAATCCAAGTATTACAAATTAATTTGACAACTCAGTAGTGGGTATTTTACATCATTTATTGTTTTGCGCATGGCCATCTATGCAAAAAACAATTCAGTTGTATCCCAAACTTTTAAAAATATATTTAATTTAATAACTCACTTATTTAAAGAGAAATGTTTAACAATCAAATATATTGATAATGGAGACGGAAAGGGCTATCCTTATATCTATAAATATGACTTTGTGTCATTCCTTGTATATTCATTAAAATAAACACAAACTTGCCAACTTAGTTGGCATCATCTGGAGATAATTAAAATTAACCTATTGGTAACAATGTATCCTATTTATACCTAAACTATTGTTACGGTTGGGTAAAAAGTAACCAACTAGCTATTGGCTATATATAGCCCATACTATTGTGCGGGTTATATGGGATTGGCCTTCTGACACTATACATGTTATTTTTATACTTTATAATTTCCAAGATTTCAAATGCATCCAACTGCCTAGTACATGTTACATTTCTAAGTAATCTTAAATTATTACTCTCTATTTTATGGTGGTTCTTTAATGCATGTTGAGTAACACTAGACATCTGTTCTACCATATTTGAGTTGAGCCATATGATCCTTGAATCTAGTTTGAATTGATGTTCTAGTATGTCCAATATACTTTTGAATGCAATCCTTAGAGCTAATTTCGTAAATCTCGGACTTTTCGTTTGTTTCAATGTTGTCCTTTGAATTGTCTAAAAATGATTGTAGTTTATTTCCCGAGGATTGAATCACTTTCATATTTATATCTTTAAAAATCTTACCAATACCTCGGGTGAATCAAGGATCGTATAGAATCGATACAAATTTTGGATTTTCTCATTCATTTTGAATGGTCGAGGACCCCCTTCCTCGGTATGTTTTTGGATATTAAATTTGACATAAAATAATACCGTGCATTGAGAAAACTATTCTGGGTAAACTTTCTTTGCTTTTTTATTTTTTTTTATCTATTTCTACTAATATATTAAAGCAGCAAAATGCTGAAATATATTTTTCATAACTGGTTACGTAAATAACTATTATCTAACCCAGTTATGAAATGTCAAGTTTTAAATGCATTTTTGACGTTACGAAACGTCACATTTTTTATAATTCAGTCCCATTACATAACTGAGTGATATAATGAATTTTTATGTAACTCATTATTATCATTTTCCTATTTTAAAGCGGGATTAGATAAAATTTTGTACTTAACACGTTATGAAAAGTAATTTTACTTGACTCATGTAATTTGCAAAACTCGCTCGCTTATTCGTCAAATAAAATTAGTCTTTATTTACAATTTTGTAAGTACTTATTTCAAAAAATAATTGAAACTGTTAAGTTTAGTGAGATTTAACATTATATGGATAATTTATTTGTTTCAATAGCGTATTATATTAATTTTGTAGTAATTATGAAACACTAATGAACTACCAGAAGTTTATGAACCTCTCTAAAATAACATGTGTTTACTACCGCCTCCAGATATTCAGCTAAACTTCTAACTGCTCCCTCTAGCCATTTATGTCACATTTACCGAAACCTAAATTTGTGATAATATAACAGCATCTTTATTATGTTACAGACTCTAAAAGAATTTCCAGAAGAACTGAGAGGGGACGTGTCGATGCACCTTCA